CATCAGTGCTCTCGGCTCTGCATCCTTTCAGCTTCTTTCTCCCCCTCATCCTCCCGCCGTGGTTCCCCATAATGGTGACCAGAACAGCCACGTGGGGCAGTCATCAGGGTGGTGTGAAGGGACATGCGGCCGAGTGACATTTTCTCTGCTGCCACCTCTGCTTGCTTTACGCTGAGTGTTCTTTACTTAGGTTTTTAGCTCCTACCTCAACTCCAGGCTTCCTGCCCGTTGTTTCACTCCCCTCTCTGGCCATTTATTTGTTTATTTACTGTTTGAGTTGGAGTCTCCGTCCATTGCCCAGGCTGGAGTGCAATGGTGTGATCTCGGCTCACCACAACCTCCGCCTCCTGGGTTCAGGCGATTCTCCCGCCTCAGCCTCCTGAGTAGCTGGGATTACAGGCGCGCACCACTGTACCCAGCTAATTTTTTGTATCTTTAGTAGAGACGGGGTTTCACCATGTTGATCAGGAGGGTCTCGATCTCTTGTCCTCGTGATCCACCCGCCTCGGCCTCCCAAAGTGCTGGGATTACAGGTGTGAACCACCGCACCCGGCCTTATTTACTTATTTTTGAGGCAGAGTCTCACTCTGTTGCCCAGGCTGGAGCGCAATGGCACGATCTCAGCTCACTGCAACCTCCGCCTCCCAGGTTCAAGCGATTCTCCTGCCTCAGCCTCCCGAGTAGCTTGGATGATAGGCATGTGCCACTGTGCCTGCTGGTCTCAAGCTCCTGACCTTGTGACCCACCCGCCTCGGCCTCCCGAGTGCTAGGATTACAGGCGTGAGCCACTGGGCCGGCCGGATGTTCCTTTTTCTACCATCCTATTTTTGTTTCAGCGACAAAAGACCTCTTATTGGCTGCAGGGTGGTCCTCATGGCCCTGTCCCTTGTCCGTCTCCCCTCGTGGTCTCTGCTTTCCTGCCTGGCCCTGTCCTTGTGCTCGAGCTCCTTTTTGGGGCTTCTCCAGGCCACCTGCTGAACTTGGTGGTGTACATTCTTTCAGAACAGGGGACCCAGCCTGTGGGAGGGGTTTTGTGGGGATACCTGTAGGTTGGAGTCCCTGGGTCCTTCTCTTGGGCTGTTCGGGTTCCCTGAGAAGAGTCTTGCTGTGCTCAGAGGGGCTCGGCCTAGCTGGCAGCTTGCCACGCGCCTCAAGAACACACATTTCCCAAGGTCCTGCTGTGCCCACACCGACCCTTGCCATGGGCCCCCTGCTCTACTCACCCGGAGACCTGGCTAGCACACTGGGGGCAGGCGCTCTTCTGTTGGTTCCCCCATCACCCCACTTCTCAAGGCGCCAGTCTGAGCCTGTGGGGGTCACTTCCCCCGCTGCGTGCACCCACCCAGACCTGCCTGGTGTCTGCTTGCCCAGCCCCCAAAGGCCGTCCTCGTCCCATCCTTTGTTCACCCCGGGTTTAAGCCTCTTTACAGTTTTACTGTTGGCTGGGCGTGGTGGCTCACGCCTGTAATCCCAGCACCTTGGGAGGCTGAGGTCGGCGGATCACCGGAGGTCAGGAGTTCAAGACCAGCCTGGCCAACATGGTGAAACCTGTCTCTACTAAAAATACAAAAACTAGCTGGGCATGGTGGTGCGCACCTGTAGTCCCAGCCCAGCTACTCGGGAGGCTGAGGCAGGAGAATCACTTAAGCCTGGGAGGCGGAGGCTGCAGTGAGCCAAGATGATGCTACTGTTCTCCAGCCTGGGAGACAGAGTGTCTCAAAAACAAAAGTCTTCCTGTTGGCTGGGTGCAGTGGCTCATGCCTGTAATCCCAGAATTTTAAGAAGCTGAGGCGGGCGGATCACGAGGTCAGGAGATCGAGAGCAGCCTGGCTAACATGGCAAAACACCTCTACCAAAAATACAAAATGAGCCGCGCGTGGTGGCGCGCGCCTGTCGTCCCAGCTACTCCGGAGGCTGAGGCAGGAGAACTGCCAAAACCAGGAGGTGGAGGTTGCAGTGAGCTGAAGTCCTGGGCAGTAGAGCGAGACTGTGTCTCAGAAGCAAGTCTTACTGTTGTGTAGGGTGGGAGTTCGGGGGAGGGTGCAGTCCAGCCACCATCCTCACCTGAAGCTCTTCTCTCTGGGAAGCACCCCAGGCCCGTGACTGTGTTGGAGGGAGTGTGGGCTGGGGTGTCTGCCCACCTGTCGACCTCTGAGATGCGTGGTATGTGTCTTATGTCCGCCCTCTCCCTGACACTGCCCGTCTTCCTGATGGTGTCCAGCTCCTGCCATGGTGTGGGCCACACACAGTGCTGACTGCTGGCCATGCCCACACTGAGCTCTTCCCCAGGGTCCCTTCGGCTCCCGCCTCCTGCCTCCTGGCCCTGCTCCCTGAGCTGCCCTCAGTGCCCACACACCTGCCTGTGTGGCCCAGGAACTGCTGGCCGCCCACACGCCTGTCATTTCTTCCTGCTCCTGCCATGTGTCCTTTAGTTCTGCCGGCTGTGCTTTCCCTGCCCCCTGTGAAGGGAGAGGCAGCTGGGCTGGGCTGGGCTCTGAACTCTGACCCTCAGTCTCTGGCCTTGGCAGGGCTGTGGCCTCTGGGCATGGGCCGTGGGGGACAGGGCTTTAACAGCTGGTTCCCCCCAGGTTGTTCCTCAGATCCCTGTGAAGAGTGGTGGTCCCCATGGGGCAGGGGTCCTCGGTGAGTGGCTGACCCCCTCCCCATCCCCACCCTGGGAGGCTCCTGCGGGACCTGTTGGCAGCCCCAACCCCTCCAGATGCCCAGCTGGTGGGGAGGGCAGGCAAGAAGGGCTGGGTGGGGCGGGGGCCTGCTGGAGCCACTCACTCCCTCCTCCCAGGGCTGCACCTGGAGGGCCCCTTCATCAGCCGGGAGAAGCGGGGCGCACACCCCGAGGCCCACCTCCGCTCCTTCGAGGCCAATGCCTTCCAGGACTTGCTGGCCACCTACGGTACCCTGGACAACGTCCGCATTGTGACGCTGGCCCCAGAGCTGGGCCGTAGCCACGAGGTGATCCGGGAGCTGACGGCCCGGGGCATCTGCGTGTCCCTAGGTGAGGGGCCAGCTCAGGGCAGGTCTGCCTGGGGGACCTGGGCCAGGCGCAGAGTTTGAATCCAGGTCCCGCAGGGCACTCAGTGGCCGACCTGCGGGCGGCAGAGGATGCTGTGTGGAGCGGAGCCGCCTTCATCACCCACCTCTTCAATGCCATGCTGCCTGTGAGCACTGTGGGGCCCCGGGGGCGGGGTGGGGCAGGGTCCCAGCAGCCCCTGCAGTCCGCTCAGCCATCCCCTCCCTGACCCTGCCCAGTTCCACCACCGTGACCCAGGCATCGTGGGGCTCCTGACCAGTGACCGGCTGCCCGTGGGCCGCTGCATCTTCTACGGAATGATTGCAGATGGCACGCACACTAACCCTGCCGCCCTGCGGATTGCCCACCGTGCCCACCCCCAGGGTAAGCCAGAGTAGGTGTTTGGGGCAGGTGGGATGACTGGGCCAGCAGGTTCTGAGCCACTTCTCCACCAGGGCTGGTGCTGGTCACTGATGCCATCCCTGCCCTGGGCCTGGGCAACGGCCGACACACGCTGGGACAGCAGGAAGTGGAAGTGGATGGGCTGACAGCCTATGTGGCAGGTGAGCGCCCCGACCCACTGGGCCCCAGGTCCCAGCCCGCATGCCAGGTGGCCCACGACCCCCCAGAGCCTGCCCTTTCTGCTCTCAAGGCACCAAGACGCTGAGTGGCAGCATAGCCCCAATGGACGTCTGCGTCCGGCATTTCCTGCAGGCCACAGGTCGGTGAGCAGCACAGGTGCGGGTGCAGGTGGTCTGTGGCTGGTGGGTCCCCAGGGACTGGGCCAGGTGCCTGGAGTGTAGCCAAGGTCCTGCCCATAGGAGCTCCTAGGCAGTGAGGATGTGGTGACTTGGGCCCAGGGTGACAGACAGACCAGCGGGACCCTTGTTTTGGGACCCCCAAGCCGTGACTCAGGCAGACTCCTGGGCGTCCCCCTCCAGTGCACGCCCACACCACAGGCAGGCCTGCCCCTCACCACGCCCAGGAGTCCGCCTGAGTCACTTGTTTTGGTGGGCTTTGGGAGCCTGTTGCAGAGTCCCTGAGACAGGGAGTGCTGGGCTGGTGGGGGGCTACTGGCAAAGCCACATGGACGTGGGGACCATCACCCAGTTGTGTCCCCCAAGCAGGGTGTAGCGTGGAGTTGGCCCTGGAAGCTGCATCCCTGCACCCCGCCCAGTTGCTGGGGCTGGAGAAGAGTAAGGGGACCCTGGACTTCGGTGCTGACGCAGGTGAGGGCCCATCTCAGGGTTACCGGGCAGTCTGGCCTTGCCGGATGGGGCAGGGAAGGTGGTTCCTCGCTAGCTCCCTTCCCTCAGGTGGGCTGCCGGCTGCCAGCTTCTGTTGTAGCCCCAGCTGCCATCAGGGCAGGCTTTCCAGTGTTGCAGACAAAGCCAGGCACGGGTTGCAAGGAGTGTTGTCCGTCTGTGACGGGTCAGCATGTCCTGCACAGGTTGTGTTCCTGGTCCTCGGTTTCCCCACCAGCATCGGGTTGTGGGGGAGCAGATCTGGGGTGGGTGGGCAGTCCCGCTCCTGCCCCCTAATCACCGCCCGGCTCTGCCCCAGACTTCGTGGTGCTCGACGACTCCCTCCATGTCCAGGCCACCTACATCTCGGGTGAGCTGGTGTGGCAGGCGGAGGCAGCCAGGCAGTGAGGAGGACCTCGGCTGAGAGCACGCCCAGCTGCAGCTGAATGCCATCAGGGCTGGGTGGTTGGGGAGCTGGACTCCAGGGAGCGAGCTGGGAGCCGTGCTGGGCTGATGCCCAGGGCCTGTGCGGCCGCCCCGGAGGCGGAAGCTGGGATAAACAGTAGGATTTGACTCGGCTCTGGGTTTTGCTTGTGCTGACAAGTGGCACCATTCCCGTTTGCCTTCCTGGGGAAGGCATTTGAGGGCTGGGGCTCAGCCTGGGTCTTGTGGGCCTCAGTGGGGGACAGGGCCTGTCTGCATGAGGTGGACCTGAGACTTGCAGGCCCCCGGAACATGTCACTGCAGGAGGGAGAGGGCAGCCAGTCAGAGGCTGGCACCGTGGGGTGAAGCTGCTATAGGCTGCAGGTGGAGAGTGGGGAGGAAGGGGGGCCAGGCACAGGGGGTGTGGACAGTCAGGGATTTGTTGTCCGCACCTGAGTTGGGTGTGTGGTGTGGAGCCCACGGCCTACTTGTGGGCCAGGGCACAGTGCCAGGTGGTCCACTCTGACCTCCAGGAAGGAGGCTGTGCCTGGAACCCGTGCCCTCTGCTCCCTGGCCTGCCCAGCCCTCAGTGCCATGGATGACCTGCATTCTGTCTCTTCAACAACCCTGTCTCCTCACCCATCCCCAGGCCTGGTGCTTGCCGGCCGTGGTGACCCTAACTGGTGCTGGAGGGCAGTGTGGGAGACACCAGTGTGCCCTGCTCACCCCGTTAGTGTCATCCTGCCATCCTCCATGTCCCGTTGGCCCTGACACACACCCATGAGGCCAGCACAGGCCGTGAGGCGCCCTGAACAGCTTTTGACGTGGGCGGGCTTTGGGAGCCATCTAGCTTTGTGGACAGCCATGATGGTGCCAGATGTCAGGAGCTGGTGCAGCCCCAGGTCAGGGGTGGTTGTCTTGACTTTCCATTTGGGTTCTGGGGCGGGTGGCCCCCTTCCCCCTCACTTACAGGCGTTGTCCTGGGTGCAGGAGGTATGCACCTGGCATTGCCACTGTTCCTTCCCCTTTGCTGCAAAGCCCGGTTAAGGAAACTCCAGGTTCAAAGAGATGAGGATGGTCTAGGCTCCACCTGTTGGAAGAGAACAGCCAGGGAAGAGCCGCCTGCCAGACAGGGCCTGGCCTGAGGGAGGGCCTGGGGTTGATACCAGCCCACAGCCCCAGTGGGTACACTGGCAGCCCAGGAAAGCAGGCACCCAATGTGGATCCTGACCTCCTGGGAGGTGTGGGGTACAGGGATACCCAGCTCTTCCTCGGCAACCGTTCACCCCTCACGACGTGGCTGCCCAGCACCTGCCTGAGCTGGGCCTGGGAGAGGAGCTGTGGGCCTGGGCTCCCAGGCACGGAGAGCCAGGCAAGGTTGTCAGCGATGTGTTTTGAGGCTGCTCAGCCCCTGTGCCCAGCTTGCTGGCTGCAGGCGCTGGCCAATCCTCAACTAAAACCCAGAGCTGGCCTGTTAGTCATCCCCACCTCAGACGGGCACCCGGTCCCAGAGCTGGTGAGCCATGGGCCAGCCTTTAGGCCTTGCCTGCCGCATTCCACTGACTAGCCCCCTGCCTCCGTGGGTGGAGGGTTGGGGAGGGGATGGCTGAGATGGGTGGTCTGTAGGGTGACCCCAGAAACTGGGAGCTAGTCATGGGTGGTGGGAGGGGCCCGGGGTCAGGGTGGGTGAGCTGGGCCAGGGAGCTGCTGCCGGAGTCTGGATTTTATTTGAGGCGCGGGGGAAGGACTCTTGGTAGGTTTTGGTTTGCTTTTTAAAAACTGTAAAATACAGCAAAAGTAACTATCCTAAGTGAGCAGTCATGCGGGGTGAAGTGAATTCACTGCACTGTGTGACCTCAGCCGCCATCCGTCTCCGTTCCCCACTGCTCACTCCTGCCGGGCTCCCAGCCCCACCCCACCATTCCTCTCACTCTAGAGCTATGAGTTTTACACAGAAGAATGCAGGGCACCCTGTCTGCGTGGTGAGGGGCAGGCCTGCCTGCGGTGTGGGCATGCGCTGGAGGGGGGCGCCCAGGAGTCTGCCTGAGTCACGGGTTGGGGGGTCAGGCATGTAGGGAGGAATGGAGTTGGAGGTGCCTGCTCTGAGCCGCCTGGCGGGGTGGGGCCTGTTTCGTCCTGTGTGAACGGGAGATGAGACCCGGCACCTACGATTGGACACACCGCGGGAGGCCGGGCTGAGCCTTCGGTTCGAGACCGAGCGCCGAGGGATTCCAGCCAGGTCCCTTTCGCAGTGCGAGCCTCTGCACCTCGTGGGCTCCGAGCGACCGCGTTTGGGGCGTGGGCGCGGAAGACAGCCGGGAAGCTCTCCACCAATCAGGCCCCGCCCCGCCCAGACTTGCAGCCCAGGCGCTGAGTCCACGCGGACCCGCAAGTCTGGGAGCAACGCGGAGGGGGCGGCCACGCCTACTATGGGAGGGGCCTCTGGGCGCGAGGCGGCCACGCCTACTGTGGGGGGGCTTCTGGGCGCGAGGTGGCCACGCCTACTGTGGGGGGGGCTTCTGGGCGCGGGACTTTGTCCGGCCAGTTAGGATCGCCGCAGGGAAGGCACGCGTTGCGGCCGAGCAGTAGGGGCGCATCGTCCTCTCCAGTTAACCCGCGCGGCCCCGGGGCACGGAGCTGGGTCTGCGAGGTCCCGGCAGGCGTGGGGAGCTGGGGAGTCGATGCGGCCTCTCACACCCCTGCGGACCCCGCCTTGCCCCAACCCTCCCCGCCGCGTCACCCGTATCCACCCCTGCGGACCGCGCCTCGCCCCAACGCTCTCCGCCACGTCCCCACACGCCTACGGACCCGTCTCGCCCCAGACCTCCCCGCCAACCCTGTGGAGCCCCGCCTCGCCCCAATGCTCCTTGCTGCGCCCCCCTACACCCTTGCAGACTCCGCGCCCTAATGCTCCCCACCGTGTCCCCCACGCCCCTGCAGACTCCACCTTGCCCCAGCCCTCCCCACCGTAACCCCCGTCTCTCCCCGCCGCACCCCGGACCTCTGCGGACCCCGCCTCATCTAACCCTCTGCACTCGTCCAGTCCCAGCCCTCCCGGGGTCCCCCACATCCCTGCAGGCTCCACCGGGCCTCAGCTTTCCCTTCTCGTACCAATCACGCACAAGTGGATCCAACTACACCCCAACTTGGCGCCGGTCCCGCACCACCGCACCTCGCCTCGTCCCGCCCTCACTGTCACTGGGAAGTGGAGGGAAGGGGTGGACAAGCACTCTAGAAGCACCCTGTTTGGGAGCTTCCGAAACTCAGAGTTGATTTTGAGCTGGGCCGGAGACCCAGGGTGGGCACGGCAGGGGATATTGGCACCAGAAGCATGGAGGAAGAGCACCTCCTCAGCCCTGCTTTTCCGTTCCTGGAGCCCTCAGACAACTCCAGAGCGTGCTCCCTTCCAGCCTGGCCCTGCGCCTTTTACCACATTTATGTAGCATGTATTTTTTTCTTTTTCTTCTCTTTTTTTTTTTTTCCCAGAGTCTCTCTATGTTGCCCAGGCAGGAGTGCTGGGGCACAGTATCGGCTCACTGCAACTTCCAGCTCCCGAGTTCAAGCGATTCTCCTGCCTCAGCCTTCCGAGTAGTTGGGACTGTAGGCTCCTGCCATCACACTCAGCTAGTTTTTTATATTTTTAGTACAGACAGAGTTTCATCATATTGGCCGGGCTGGCCTTGAACTCCTGACCTTGTGATCCAGCCACCTCAGCCTCCCAAAGTGTTGAGATTACAGGCGTGAGCCACCGTGCCTGGCCACATGTGTTTTTTTCTAAATGGGATTGCACTTTTGCTGTTACTTTGCAGTTTGGTGGGGGTTCTTTTTGTTTTTTGGGTTCTTTTCTTTTTCCTGAAACCAAGCCTCACTGTGTTGCGCAGGTGGAGTGCAGTGGCACGATCTCTGCTCACTGCAACTTCTGCCTCCTGGGTTCAAGCAATTCTCCTGCCTTAGCCTCCTGTGTAGCTGGGGGCATTTCACCATGGCTGGATAATTGGTTTTGTATTTTTAGTACAGATGGGGTTTCACCATGCTGGCCAGGCTGGTCTTGAACTCCTGACTTCAAGTGATCCATCTGCCTCAGCCTCCTCAAGTGCTGGGATTACAGGCATGAGCCACCAGGCCCAGCCTTTTTTTTTTTTAATTTTTTAATTTTTTATTGGATTATAGGTTTTGGGTTTTTTTTTTTTTTTTTTGAGATGGAGTCGCTCTGTCATCCAGGCTGGAGTGCAGTGGTGCCATCTCAGCTCACTGCAACCTCTGCCTCCCTGGTTCAAGCAATTTTCCAGCCTCAGCCTCCAGAGTAAGTGGGATTACAGGCACATGCCACTGTGCCTGGTTGGGTTTTGTATTTTTTAGTAGAGATGGAGTTTCACCATGTTGGCCAGGCTGGTCTCCAATTCCCCGCCTCCTGGCTTACACCGGAGGATATTTACCCCAGAGGGTTGGAAACCACTGAATGATTTTGTCGTCTTTCATTCATTCATGTATCTGCAGCCCAGCAAATGTGTATTGGGAGCTTCAGACATGTGACCAGAGTCTTGTGGGCCAGAGGCAGGCAGGGACCCTGCTGTTGTCTTTTTTTTTTTTTTTTTTGAGACAGTCTTCTACGGTCATCCAGGCTGGAGTGCAGTGGCGCAATCTCAGCTCACTGCAACCACTGCCTCCGTGGGTTCAAGTGATTCTCATGCTTTGTCCTCCTGAGCAGCTGGGATTACAGGCATGCAGCACCAGGCCCGGCTAATTTTTGTATTTTTAGTAGTGATGGGGTTTCACCATGTTGGCCAGACTGGTCTTGAACTCTTGACCTCAAGTGATCTGCCTGCCTCACTCTCCCAAAGTACTGGGATTACAGGTATGAGCCATCACGCCCAGCCAATGCTGTTGTCTTTTGAGAGCCTCCTTTTCTCTCTCTCTTTTTTTTTTTAAAGAGACGGGGGTTTCACCGTGTTGGTCAGGCTGGTGTCGAACTGTTGACCTAGTGATCTGCCTGCGTTGGCCTCCCAAAGTGCTGGGATTACAGTTGTGAGCTCCTGTGCCTGGCCAAGCCTCCTTTTCTGTCAGCTGATCTCCCTGCCTCCCATTTTCCCTCCTCTAGTCCTCTTTAAAAACACTGCTGAGTAGCTGCAGGCTCAGTCTAGAAATGCAAGCCAGGTTGGGATCCTTGCTGGGAGAGCCCTTCCTTCCCTGGCTTTGTAACGCAGGGTCTTGTGGCGTGCACACCTCCAGGGGTCCAGGTGGGGCCTGTGCTTCTTGCTTCTGTCTCTCCCTGAGATTGGAATCCTGGCTCTGTCCTCAACTAGCTTGAAGGGAACCTCCAGGAATGGCCCCTCCTGCTGGATTTCATACCCTTGTGTAGTCCTGTTTCACTCTTTTTTTTTTTTTTTTTTTGAGACGGAGTTTCACTCTTGTTACCCAGGCTGGAGTGCAATGGCGTGATCTCGGCTCACCGCAACCTCCTCCTCCTGGGTTCAGGCAATTCTCCTGCCTCAGCTTCCTGAGTAGCTGGGATTACAGGCACGCGCCACCGTGCCCAGCTAATTTTTTGTATTTTTAGTAGAGACGGGGTTTCATCTTGTTGACCAGGATAGTCTCGATCTCTTGACCTTGTGATCCACCTGCCTCGGCCTCCCAAAGTGCTGAGATTATAGGCGTGAGCCACCATGCCCGGCCTTGTTTTTGTTTTGTTTTTTGAGATGGAGTCTCACTCTGTCGCCCAGGCTGGAGTGCAGTGGTGTGATCTCGGCTTACTGCAAGCTCCACCTCCCAGGTTCAAGTGAATCTCCTGCCTGAGCCTGGGGAGTAGCTGAGATGAGAGGTACATGCCACCACGCCCAGCTAATTTTTGTATTTTCAGTAGAGACGTGATTTCAACATATGTTGGCCGGGCTGATCTCAAACTCCTCACCTTGTGATCCGCCTACCTCGGCCTCCCAAAGGGCTGGGATTACACTATTTCACTTTTTAAAAATTTTTATATAAATGATTTTTTGTTAGAGACAGGGTATCAGTTTGTTGTCCTGGCTGGTCTCAAACACCTGGCCTCAAGCAGTGCTCCTGCCTCAACCTCCCAAAGCACGCCCTTTCCCTTTCTACCAGGTTGTTCTGTGTGACCAGTAGATGTGTGGAGGTGGTGATGTGTCACTTCCGAGGTTTGGTCATTAACGACACGGTGACTTCTCTCTTGCATGTGTTCTGTTTCCCTTGGGCCACTTGCTCTGGGGAAAGCCAGCTGTTAGGGCTTGAAAACACACACCCCTGTGAAGAGGCCTGTGTGGTGAGGGACTGTGGCCTCCAGCCCGCAGCTGTGGGAACGTGGGAATGAACCTTTTAGGAAGTGCGTCCTTTGGCCCTCCAGTAGCCTTTAGGTGGCCCGGCCCTGGCTGCATCTGGATGGCAACTTGACGAGAGAGCCTGAGCCAGACCACCCAGCCCAGCCTCTCCTGGATTCCAGACCTGCAGGAACCGTGAGCCAAACATGGCGTTTTTTTGTTTTTTGAGACAGAGTCTTGCCAGGCGCCAGGCTGGAGTACAGTGGCGTGATCTCGGCTCACTGCAACCTCCGCCTCCTGGGTTCAAGCAATTCTCCTGCGTCAGCCTCCTGAGTAGCTGGGACTACAGGCGTGCAGCACCACATCCAGCTAATTTTTGTATTTTTGGTTGAGATGGGGTTTCACCATGTTGGCCAGGATGATATCCATCTCTTGACTTCATGATCCGCCCACCTTGGCCTCCCAAAGTGCTGGGATTACAGGTGTGAGAGCCACTATGCACGGCCGTGTTAGTTGTTTTACACATCTTAAGTTTGGGGACAATTTGTTACACAGCAGTAGATAGCTAATACACCAGCTGTAGGGCCTTGGGCAAATTCCTTGGCCTCTGCACCACCATTTCCTCCCTTGTGCCATGAGAGTTGCAGAAATGGGCCTGGCGTGGTGGCTCACGCCTGTAATCCTAGCACTTTGGGAGGCTGAGGTGGGTGAATCACCTGAGGTCAAGAGTTCAAGACCAGCCTGGCTATCATGGTGAAACCCATCTTAAAAAAAAAAGAGTTGCAGAAATGAAGGAGGAGCAAGTACACGCAGCACAGGGTCACACGCAGGAGGCAGCCTTCCAGCCCCTCCCAAAATGGTTCTGGTCATCTTTTTGCCCCTTCCTGGATGGACTGTGACCTCACAATGTCAGGCCAAGTTACAGCCTTCTTGGCCTGAGATCATCCATGGGCCATGGACAGAGGTTCTGGGCAGAAAAGGGTGAGATAAAGACAGGGGATCAGTCTCCTTCTTCCAGCCTGGGTGCCGGAGAAATGTGCTGGACCAGGTGAGACATCTGTTCCCTCTGCGGTGTCTTGGGAGGGGCAGCTGGACCTGACCCATGGGGAGGTTTCTGTGTGTCTCCAGAGGGCAAAGGGGCTACCTGGTCTGGTTTGCCTTGGGCTTGGCCAAGCATTCTGGCTGCCATTGGGGCCCCCAGGACAACTGATAACTGTACTTCCCTCCATGACCTTCAGCTCTCCCTCGCTCCTCTGCCCCCTGCTGCCTGCTTAGCTGCTTTCTTCAGGGAACAGCCTCCTCTCACCCCTGGCCCCTGTCCCTGA